ACCCATTATGTTTCTTGCATCAATAGGCCTTTTAAAATAAATATGTAGAAGGGTGCTCGCCGATTGAGTTAAGGCGTTGGACTTCGATTTCACAGGCTGCGTATTCGAATGTCAGCGGTTGCACTGCGTGAAGGCAGTATGGATGGCTCATCACGACATTGATAAGTCTCAAATCAGTCTTTCAGTGACGGGTCATGGTTGTCCCGTTTTAATTTCGCGGCTAAAAAATAGTGCCGCAGTAGGCCTTGGAACAGCTTCCAGTAATGCATACGGTAGGAGACGAGCCAAAAAAGTGTATATTACGGGTCAGTATGTGTCCGAGGCTCGGGTGAGATGCCCCTTAATCTGGGAATTACGACGGCCAATGAGGCAAAAATGACCATTCCAGTGTCTTTTGTCTTTGCCGGCAATAGAGTACGCGCCCGAATTCGTGCAACATGTCGACATATGCGACAGATCGATATTCTTTCGCGCAACGGCATTGACTGAGGTTTTGATACTGATTATCGTGTAGTGTACGCTGAAGTTATTTTAGTCATGATAGGATGTCCGCTTTTTAAAAACCTTCGTTTTGACCACTTACAAGGCGTATGTACGGTAAAAAAATACCTACTTAAATAGTATGCGTATTTATCATTAAATGTGACTGTCTTTATAAATTCAAATATATTTTACGAAAAAAATATTTCTTGTATTCATTTGATAGCAAACAATGCTTTTTTTAAATTGCATACTTAAAAAAGGGTTTTAAAAAGTTTCTAAATTGCCGAATGATTTTTAAACCTACTGACTGCTACATTTGAATTCAAGGATTACAAACTGCGAACTGTGTGCATCCTGTTTAAGGAAAAAAGGCCTTCACCTACAGTTTAAGGAAGAAGACACATAGTACTCAGAAAATGTTGCAGTAGGTGTAGTACATGCTTTATACAGTATGAGCAGCATTAATAAATTGACAGATACGGTGTGTTATGAATGTACACCTCACGATCGTAAAAAGTTCATAATTAGAACTTTTTTAAAACCGAAAGATATCCTTTCTTTAAGTAACGATTTTAAAGAAGGCGTAATTTGCTACCTAACGAGTGCGCGAAGTAATTTTTTGATTACGTTTTCCATAAAATATATTTGAATTCATAACGACAGTCACAATCAATAATAAATACGCATACTATTTAAGTAGTTACCTTTTACAGTTCATAAGATTTTCTAGCGGTCAAAAATAGGCTCTTTGAAAAGCCGACATCCTACCACGACTGAAATGACTTCAGAATACACTGCACAATAATCAGTATCACAACCTCAGTCAATGTCGTTTAGCGAAAGGCTATCGATCTTTCGCATATGTCGGCATGTTGCACGAAGTCTGGCGCGTACCGTGCTATAGCATGTCGCTAACGTGCTCTGCGAACGCCCTTTAGCATTAGCGTTAATACTACGGGTCACAGTCAGGAGGGCAATGTGCCTTTGGCATACTGGTTTGGCCAAGGCACCAGCACCTTGGTCTGGGTCTGACATACTGCTGAAAATTAATAAGCCGGTTATGGACATCACAGGCGTCCTTTGCTTCATTTTGGGCGTTTTATGTCTAGACGTATAACTTAGTAGATTTTCTCATCAGGCCTGTACAATTCCATGCTACAGCGCACCTGGTAGACTCGGACCATTGCGTGGATGCCAACGAGGCCCTCCGAGTGATATACAAGGTGCCCCCATGCTATTCGGCATTTCTTGGACAGCGTCTGTTGGCTACGGCAGAACGGGCTGGCATCAGGATACGCCGACCGGTCTTGTGCGCCCAAAAGAACTTCGTGACTGCGTCGTAAGTTGCTTTGACTTTAAGTTGCTAATACAACAGCCCAGATCTTATCACCTTTCTCGGCTACCAGTCCGCCCCCCCGCTAACGCTGATCAGATTTTTGACCACGCTTACCCTCCCCCCACCTGCCCTGACAACCGCACTATTTTGTGTCTGCCAAGCCGCATAGTTTATTTATTTATTTATTTTATAGGGGACTGACAAGAAGCTATTGAAAGTCAACGTATGTTTGCGAATTTTGTTTCTTCCGAAATTTTCCATGGGAAGCTTCGCAAATTTGGTAGATTTTTTTAAAATTTATTGAGAAAACTGTTTGTCTCCAATTACGATAGCCCCACCCCTCTCCCAGCCTCTTCTGAATATGTTACTAGTCAAATAAACGTTTTCAATTCAAAATAAATGTATTAATTCATATATATATAAATGTTTTCAGTATACCGGCGTAGACAATGGCAACGTAGTATAGCTATT